GCAGAATTAGCCCCTCTGTCTCTTTCTTCAACTTTACTGCTCCTAACCATTGCCAAGTCTTGTTGGTACCTGCTTTGCCTGATAGTTTTTTTGTGTACTGGCCATGTAATCCTTTGCCTTGCCATGTCTCTTTTTTATTCTTCGTTTGTTTGTTTTTTGTAGGCCACTTTGATCTCTTCAATATTCAATAAGCCTTCATGGTATACTAGCTTCAGTGCATCTTCTTCACTGTCCTTCAGATATTCTTCCAATGCCCTTTTTTCTTCTTCATCTGGTGTACTTACAACATTCCACACCCACCTATGCTCCTTGGTAAGTAGAGTCTGTCTACGTCACTGCATGGATGAAGGGCATGATTCATTGTCATCATTTTTCTGGTCTTCCTATCCAGGGCTTCTAGTTCTGCTTGAGTCTAGTCCACTATTTCAGCTGTGTATCTAATGACTGGAATTGACCAGGTGTTAATTGCCATGATGGTATTTCCTCCACTGAGTTTGCACTTTAAGATCTTCTTCACTCTCGTGATGTATTCACTACTAACCTTCTTGACTTCAATGTGCCTGATGTTGTCGGCTTGAAGGATGCCCAGGTATTTGTAGTGACCTTCTTCATCCAGACTCTTGATGTTATTTTTGTAGTGCATCTTGATTCCTTCAGTTTTCCCTATTTTTCCCCTGTTGCTGATAAGGATGGCACATTTGTCCAGTCCAAACTCTACTGCAATATCTTGGCTATATATTCAGACAGTGTTGAGCAGCAGTTCTGTTTCAGGTGGGGGTTTTCCATATAGCTTCAGATCATCCATGTAAAGGAGGTGGGATAGCCTGGCAGATGTTTTTGATGTTTGATAACCATTTCCTGACTTGTTCAGTACTGTTAACAGAGGAATCAATGAAATGACAAACAGTAGTAGTGATAGTGAGTTTCCTTGAAAAATTCCTTTCTTGATATTAACCTCTCCCAGTCTATCGCCACTGACCAACAACTGTGTTTTCTACTGTGCCACTGATCTTTGCACAAAGTTTCTGATGTTTCTACTGACTCCTGTTATTTCTAGGCACTTGATTATCCAATTATGGGGCACAGTGTCAAATGCCTTCTTGTAATCAATCCAAGCTACATTCAAGTTGGTCTTCCTTCTCTTGCAG